GCTAAAAATATCATAGCGTACTTATTTTGATCATTTTATAGTTTTATTCCATCAATGACAGCCATTTGTTCTTAATACGTATTTGACTCCCTCAACAGGTGAAATTCTGATGGATCATAAAACCTTGGTAGCCATGCCTTTCAGCAAGCAAATACTACGTTGCAGCACGTGTAAGATTCGGTGCTATGTACCTCTACCCTGCCCAAGTTGTTCTATGGTAGGAAAAAACATTTTTTTTTGTTTTTGTTTTTTTAATTTTAACGTCATATAATTATATTTAGGCTAAACACGTTATATACCAAATTAGATATAAATATGTTCGCAATAGTCGAAAACGAACGAAAGTATAATATATATAGATCGATATCCATTATACTTTTACACTGTGTGCGTGTGTGTGCGTGCCCATATTATATAAGAATATGTGGATAATTACTAATATTTATATACACATGTAAAAACATTTATCGTTATATGACCATTAGCATCTTTTCTTTTAAATTCCACATTTATCTTCCACTTTTGTCTATTCTTTTATCTCTGTCCTCCTTCGACTAATTCCCAGCATCGACCTCCATCCCTTTCCGGGCACTTGTTAGTTTCTTTTCGGTTATAGTCCATGTTTCTGATCCATAATGGCAAGTATGCTACTGCGTTTGTCGAAGGCGCTCAAGCCTAGACTGATGGGTCGCTTAATTTCCTCTTTCGCTTGAAGTGTTTGTACGCGTTGCCCTATGTGTGTATATATACTAGACCATTACTTATAACGCTTCGCCTTGTATATGTATCTGTTCGAATTGAACTCTGCTGGGAGAGAGAGGGAGAGAGTATAAAGAACATATATGAACTATATATGTGTGTGTGTGTGTAAGTGTAATGTCACATATTGATAGAGCGGTACAGGAATAGGTGTTTATTAAGAAGAGTGGCCGCCCATTAATTTTTAAAATCTTCCGCAGGCCTTCTGCAGCGAAGTTTGTAGGACGCAGGGGCTTGCTGGCGAACATCAGAATGAGTGCATTTTTTCATTTGAAGAGGACGAAAGCTTCTGTCTCGTGAGAGAACTGATGATGAAGACCACTTTTGTCAAACTAAAAGACCTGGTTCCCAAACTCCGCACAGAAAAAGAAACACAACATCCCTCACGGCTTGGTTTCAACGAGAATGGTGTTTACGATCCTTCTGACTACAGAACATTCTATCATCTTCTCACCAATAAGGATAACCGTAAAATTGACTCTCTTTTCAGTGACTGCATTTTGGCAGTTATGTTACTCAAATTATTGCTTCTCAGTGAAAAGTTCTTCACTAATGAAGCTGGCATTCCTTTCACACCAAGTTCTGAAGACCTCATCTTTACAGGAGGTATATTGTTCCATCACTTCTTAAATATAAATGCAAATAACGCCACTATCATGGAACTCGAGGTATGTTTTTTTTTTTTTTTTTTTTTTTTTAACAATGTATTCAACAAATGTAAAAGTTCATAACCCATGTTTACAGCATGTGTATATATATTTTTTCTGTCAGTGATATGTATTGCTATATCATATCAAACACCTATAACCATGGTTACCTGATCTCTTTCACCTAGACTACTTCGGGATCCTCGCTCTTTGCAGCAGAGAAATCAGGAAGTCTATTCTCTCCTCTCGTGGCGCTTATGAATCATTCTTGCTACCCATCGGCCATGGTGACTACTTGCGGCAACAGGGCAATTGTGATAGCCACACGATCGATCAAAACTGGAGAAGAGGTGACTTTGTCATACCTTGGAGACCGTGCTTATACTCAACCAGAAACCACAAGGAGACAAAAAGTTCTATGCAACTTCTACTTCCTCTGCCACTGTGTTGCATGTGAGGGGAAATGGTCTGAACTTATCCACGTCAGTTCCAAGAGGACCTTCAAATGCCTTGCTTGTGGGGGACCAGTCAGTCTTAGGCTCAAGACCTGCATGGATTGTGGCTTGGATTTCCTAAAATCCAGTGGAGAAAATGTATATGATCTTGACGAGATTGGGAATAAGATAAGTCAGGGAACCCAAATCTTAATGACAAGATTATTACATTATCCGGCACATAAGTTGTCTAAGATAGACCTCAAAAGTCTGATATCAGTTATAGAGATTTTTGACAAGTATGTTTACCCACCTGATGAGGTGCATGAAGCTGCTCAAAGAATGCTTGTTGAATGGTTCACAATCACGTCAAGACACTACATAAGAATGGAAGGTTTTTAAGCAGTAAAGCATATGTATATGATATTGCATATGTATGTGTGTATATATTATATATATATATTATTTATATATTATTTATATATTATTTATATATTATATATATTATGTATAAATACATTATATATTATATGTATATATTGTATATATAATTATATATATATGATTATATATAATTATATATATTTATAAATATGAATATATAACTATATATATAATTTATAATTATATATATTAACTATATATATAATTATATATATATAATTATATATATAATATATGATTATATATATAATATATAATATATAATATATAAATATGTAGTTATATACATATAATATATAATTATATATAATATATAACTATGTAGTTATATATTATATAATATATAATTATATATATATTATATAATATATAATTATATATATATTATATAATATATAATTATATATATATTATATAATATATAATTATATATATATTATATAATATATAATTATACAATATATAATTATATATAATGTATATTTATATATATAGTATACGATTATATATGATATATAATTATATATGTAATATATAATTATATATTATAAGATATAATTATATATATAAGATATAATTATATATAATACATAATTGTATATAACATATAATTGTATATATTATATAATTATATATAATATAATTATGAATATAATTACATATATATAATTATATATGTATATAAATACATATTTATAATTACATATATATATGTATATATATATATATATATATATATATATATATATATATATATATATATATATATATATATATATATATATATATACATACACACATACGTATGTAATTATATATATATATATATATATATATATATATATATATATATATATATATATATGTAATTTTATATATATCTATAATCTATATATATTATATGTAATTATATATATATATATATATATATATATATATATATATATATATATATATATATATATGTAATTGTATATGTATCTATAATCATATATATTATATGAAAATATATAATATATATAAAATAATCATATATAATTATATATATATATTTATATAATTATGTATTATATATAATTACATATATGTAATTATATTTTATATATTTTATAGAGTATATATATCATATATATTACATTTTATATATATAATGTATATAGATATAAATATATATAATATACAAATATATATGTAATTATAAATTATATATATAATTACATTTATATATACAAATATAATTATATATGTAATTATATATATATATATATTAATTATATATGTATATGTAATTGTATATTTATATATGTATAGCTAATTATGTATATGCATATATATATTTAATTATATATATGTATTGTATATATAATATATATGTATATGATTATATATATATCATTACACAATTATAATTATATATTGTATATATATATTTATATCATGTATACACACATGTATACATAAATATGTAATGCTTATTATTTCCCTGTACTTCAGATGTTTATTGAAATGTACGCTTTCCAACCATTATTCTTCAATTAAGGTCTATAAGCTAAAATTTGTAATCAAGTAAGTATTTTTTCAGTTTAATTATAGTTACGTTATATAAAGTTCTTTAATTTGTTTTGTTAAACTAGAATGTATGTATGAATTATATGTAATTATAATATATATAATATATACATAATATATATATAGAATGTATAGAATATATAGAATATATATATTATATATTATATATATATAGAATATATGGATAATATATATGTATAATTATATACAGTTATATATATAACTATATAGATATGTAATTATATATATAATATATATTATGTATATTATATTTTATATTTTATATAATTTAATGTAATTATATATATAATATATAGATATATTTTATATATTATATTTTATATAATTATATAAATATAATTATAAATTATATAAGTATTAAAATTTTATATTATATATACAATTACATTTATATATACATATAATTACATTTATATATATAAATATAATTATATATATGTAATTTTATATATATAATTATATATGTATATATATGTCATCGTATATTTATATATGTATATCTAAATGTATATATGTATATATATGTAATTATATATATTGTATATTTTTACAAAATATATGTATGTATATAATTATATATATATATCATTACATATATGTATATGATTATATATATATCATTACATAATTATAGCTATATATAATATATATATATATATATATATCATTACATAATTATAGCTATATATAATATATATATATATATCATTACATATATATAATTATATAGTTATACATGATATATATCATTACATATATGTATATAATTATATATATATCATTACATAATTATAGTTATATATATATATATATATATATATATATATATATATATATATATATATAAAGTATATATTGTATAAATATATTTACATATTTATGTATAATATATATATTTGTATTTGATATATATATATATATACATATACATAAATGTGTAATGGATACATAAATATGTAATGCTTGTTATTTACCAGTACTTTAAATGTTTACTGAAATATATGCTTTCCAACCATTATTCTTAAAATATGCTATAAACATATAAAACTAAAATTTGTAATGAAGTAAATATTTTTTTAAGTTTAATTATATTTACTTTATGTAAAGTTCTTAAATTTGTTATTAAACCTGAATTGCAATAAAAAGAAGGACCAGAATAATAGTGCTGTTTAACTGAACCTTAAAATGTTTCTCACTATCCCTCAAAACACGCACCCCCACACACACACACATACACATAGACACACATGCAAACACACTTACACAAACACACCTATACACACACACACACACACCTATACACACACACACACACCTATACACACACACACACACACCTATACACACACACACACACACACACCTATACACACACACACACACCTATACACACACACACACACACACACACACCTATACACACACACACACACACACCTATACACACACACACACACATACTCTCACACACACATACTCTCACACACACACATGTACACACATACACACAGATATACACACATACATATACACTCATACACATACCTACACACATACATACATATACACTCATACACATACCTACACACATACATACATATACACTCATACACATACCTACACACATACATACATATACACTCATACACATACCTACACACATACATACATATACACTCATACACATACATACACAGAGACACAGACACGAACACACACTTTTCTTAGTTGCCAGGGGTTCTTTGCCTTCGGAATAGTTGTCGGCACATGTTTACCCTGTGGTTCCAGGCGTCCTTGTGACACCTGGACCCAGACCGAGTTTTGGGTATGGTCAGTGAGGCTGCTTGATTAATGGCTTCTATTTGTCTGGCTTCAAGCACTTCCACATTTTCGGCTTGTGTGGGTTCATTGCATCTCAGACTGGGCCAAATTTAAGCTGGGACATTTTCCAATATTGACCTGTCAGTTGGTTCCCCTGATTCCCAGTTGAATTTCACTTGGCAGGTCATGGAAGACTTGCATGGAAGTGACCACTTTCCAATACCTTTGAAAGAGGTGGATGGTATTCCAGCCAATGGAGTGCAGAGATGGCGACTTGAACATGCAGACTGGAATCTTTTTAGATCAACTGCAGTATTGCAAGTGTCTGTGAATGATTTCCAGTGTGTTCAAGATGCTGTTAATCACTTCACATTGCGGATTCACCTTGCAGCAGAAGCATCAATTCCCAGAAGTAGCGGGCAGTACCGTCGACCTCCGGTACCATGGTGGTCTGATGAATGCCAATAAGCTATCAGAGCAAGAAAAGCTGCATTAAGGCACTTGAAATGATGCCCAAGCGATGTAACCTTGATTACATCGCTTGCAGCTTTGCCGTAAGACTGCCCCAGGAAGTGACGATATTCCATACAAAATGATATCTCACTTACCGGAGAGCTCCCAAACGTTCCTATTGGATCTGTTCAATAGGATCTACAGGGAAGGAACAGTGCCATCCCAATGGAAAGAAGCTATAATCATTCCTGTCCCTAAACCTGGCAAGGATGCTTCCATATCAGGGAATTATAAACCAATTTCTCTCACCAGCTGTATCTGCAAGTTGATGGAGAAAATGGTAAACTTCAGGTTGACATGGCTACTAGAAAAATAAAACGTGCTGACCCCATATCAATATAGGTTTAAAAAACAGATCGACCACAGATGCACTTGTGAGGATGGAAACTGCTATACAGATTTCCTTCACACAGTGACGCCATATGATAGCAGTCTTCTTTGACCTTGAAAAGGTTTATGATACTACTACTACTACTCATGAAGCTGTATGACATTGGTTTAAGAGGAGCATTGTCAACCTTCATACAAAGCTTCCTTGCTAACAGGAAGTTTAGAGTGAGGGTGGGAAATAACTTCTCTAACCTGGAAGATCAGCTGGAAGGAGTCCCACGTCTTGAGTGTGACCCTGTTTGCCATTGCTATCAATGATATCGTAAAGGTCGTTCCAAGTGCTGTCTCATGTAGTCTGTATGTGGATGACTTTACACTGTACTGCTCAGGAGGTAGCTTACAGGATATGCAAGGACACATGCAGACTGCAATAAATCAGGTTGTGTAATGGACAACATACCATGGATTCAAATTTTCTCCTAGCAAGACCATGGCTATGCATTTCCACAAACGAGGAAGGTTTCACCCTTCCCTGTATTTAGGAGCAAACCCACTACATTTTGTCGAACAGGTAAAGTACTTGGGTCTAATTTTTGACTCAAGGCTTACATGGGTGCCTCACATTAAACAGTTAAAGGTGAAAGCTACAAAATCGCTTAGTATTTCTTTCCCACCTATCTTGTGTTGCAGACCGCACAACGCTT